CAAAATTTATAACAAACTATTTCAATCATTTGTATGTAGTACGTCATTCTTAAAATTATAGGACGCAGTTATAAATGAAAAATAGAAAAATTTTTTAAAGTTTTATTTTAAGAGATGGCTTAAAATTAGCGAATTTCAAGATATTAGATTTGGTCAGAATCTCTGGATAGAATACTTATCAAAACTTGTACTTGAAAAATGCTTATCAAAATTTGTGCTTGGAAACCCAAACATCATTCTTTTGCGACGCGGAAAATTCACTAGCGGATTAAAGTAATCCTCAACGGAGATGTACTTTGGCCCACCGAAAGTATCCAACATGGCAATCGCTGATATCTTCAACTCGGCGAAAAAGAAATTATGACCTATGCAAACAAGCAGCATAATGTTATTTTGATGTATGAGAATTCTTCAGATTCAATGGGTTTCCATTTAGTGACACAAGTCGACACAAATATCATTTTATCTTTCTTAGCTTTCAATGATTAACAAGAACAAAATGATATTTGTGTCGATTTGTGTCACTAAATGGAAAGCACTCAATATAACTTACGAAATATTCTAGCTATATTACGAGAATATGTTGTATTGTTACTGCAATATTGCTAGAATATTGGGGAGAGGAGGTAATATATACAGAAAAATTATAATGATATTACTTGCGGGCATGTTCTGCAACTTCGGGTGGCGATCAAAGAATAATGTCTTCGCAATGTCGTATTCTTCAGTTTCGTTTTTCACCTGTTAAAATATTTAACATATTAATAATGCACCTGAATATTAAACAAACATGATAGAACTGAACAATTTTATACTGACTGCTACAATTTTTCCTGTTAACATAACTCTAACACATCGGGGATCCATCGGGTCATATGCTTTATCCTTACAATAGTTGCCTTGAGCTAATGTCACCAAGAGTGTCGCACGATGATCTTTCTGTAACAATGAAGTATTAATGTGAAATAAGAATTGAAATTTAGATTAATGCATTAGATGAAAGTTAGATATTTTGTCAAAATATATGTAGTATTAATGAAAAAAACTTGGGACCTGTAATATTTTTTGCAATATTAATTTTTGTCAAAGACATATGGGCAAATATGAGCAAAACAAACAGAATCTTAGGCATTTAATAATCTCTTTTTTTTTTAATTAATATAAGTTCAAGATAAATGTTTATGTCGCATGTATGTTTATGTCGCATTATTTTATCAGTTGAAAAAACAATTTTTATAATAATTTAAAATTATACTGGACACTTTGTTCAGCAGACTATATTTTATTATATTTATATAATTACACCTGCATAAATGTAATTTCAAAAATTATCATTAAAGTGTTATATATAACTATATATTATTCAAACTACTTATTATCTTATCAATAAATTAAAAATTTATTTGATATGTTTTATTAATTGATACGTTTTATCAAGAGACAAGGTAATTAGGATTTAATTATAATCAGCAATAATTATATTCAGCTTTGTTGAGAGATAAGTTAAAAATCTTATCTCCAATGCTAATATCTTTTTGATATCGCATCTGAATGAAAATATTCTTCTTCCCCATTATTCTCCATTTTTTAATGTCATATGCATCGTAATGTTCTGAATATTATAATGCACTATAGTCGATAATAAACGCAACAAAATACAACGATCAATAATCGATTAAATATTACTAACTTACAGCAAGATCTTGAGCGGTATAGTCGAGAGGGGTGAGATACATATACGGTATTCCAGTACCGTTTCCAACAGGTCCATCGGCAATGGAGATCAAATTTGCGACGGGAAAGCCTTGAACATCCTTTCGCATGCTTATCGTCGCTACGGCCGCCCAATCTGCCAATACATAGATCCATATAATATTAAACGCGTAAACAGGTATGTTAATGCTATATTATGTGTAGAATTAAATTATTTTTCCAAAATTCCTATTCTTTCTAATCTGTTTAAAAATGTTTCTTTCCAATATATTCTATAATACAAGAAAGTTTAAATTAGAATTCTAAAAGTGATTCTTCTTTTTAGGTGGATTTGAATAAGCGGCAAGAATTGAAAATCACTCTCTTGATCGATTCTTTTGTCTCTTTTGAAAAAACAATAGAATTATTTTTATATTCGCTGTAAAACGTCCAAAGTAGTCTTCTTATATATGTGTATGCACGCATATATAATGTAGACACACACACACACACACACACACACACACACATATATATACATGTGTATTCGAGAATGGCGTAAGTTATTTATTGGTACGCTTGACGCGGGACCAAAATATCGTTGGTATTTTGTTGACGGTAAATAGTTATGTATGTGTTTCATCTATAAAATGCATGAGCAAGGCAACGATAGTAACGATACGTGTTGATTAGAGTGTGCTGTTTTTTGCACTGCTTTACTCTAGACTTTTGATGACTATCTCAATACGTGTATCTTGATAAAAAACGATAAGTAGACTGAAAATTTTTTCTCCATTACATAGCTAATTAAATTTTAGAGAATAATCATAAAACAGAAGTTGCGCGCACAAGCACGTATATAACCATCAAAATTTATTTACTATCTTTTGTAAAACAGACTCGGTAAAAAATTTTTTTATATAAAAACATATAAACACACATAAATAAATAGAAATATAT